AAAATAACTTCTAGTGGAAAACACTCTCAAGGAGAGTGAGTTATTAAGCAGTAGGCTAAGCAGTACAGTCGATGAAGACTACTGCTTAGGATGCTGCTGGCAAACTACAGTCCTTTAGTGAGATGTGTTTGGTGTGTGCTTCTGTATGTATGAAAGTAAATCAACACACGATATATCCTGGTTCAGAGGTGGTGTAATCCTCCTACATCCAGTCCCACCCTATTTCAGATGGATTTCCACTAAAGTATTCAGCCCAATACAATTAGTGCCAATCTAGCCTTGACAACTCTGGCCTAGATTGAAGGTTTTTCACGATGAGTATAACACCACTCAAAGTTACTCAGTCCTTAGACTTTTCTCAATTGATCCAGTGGGGATCAAAAGGTACTCTATCTATCTAACCACACTTTAGGATCCGAACAACTGTTCTCCTAAGTGTTTACAACAACATGAATTGATTCACGAAGTGTCTAACCGCCAACTAAAACCTAAGCTCTATAAATGTTACAATGAATGATCTAGTCTAAGAGCTTAGTGAAGCATGAGTCAAAGCAGAGTGTTCAAACACTTTTTCCTTTGCTGGATATGCGTAGTGTAATGACTGAACCACTTGCTTTGAACTCAATGACTTACCTTTGATCTCATGCTTCTGCCTATTTTTATAGGCATCTCCAGTAGATTAATTTCCTCCGTTGGTTAAGAGGATTTAATCCTAGACGTCCAAAGTTTTGTACTTGCGTCTTCTTGTGTTGGAGCAGGATAAGGATTTGTCTTTTGAAGACCACTTGCTTTGTACGAAGATAACACCCATACCTTAGGCCTTCTTATCGCTGCATGCCTATTCTGAAACTCTTCACTATTCACCTAATCAGATGTCTTCTCTCCTCTTGCGTTCTGAGTGTATTGGCCTTGTCTTGCAACTACACTTGTAAAGCTGAGTGCGTGAACCTGCTCAATTTGTGTAGTGAAGTAGTAAAATGTGTGACTTAGAATATTTTGTATCAAATAAGTTTTGTACTGGTAGGATCTTTGAAATATCCTATTAAGGTAATAGGATTACCTTATTGCATTTTGTTCTTTCCAGTACAATTTATTTGGTACAAATTTCACAGTAAAATTTGTCACTTATTTTACTAATCACTTTCTTTCTTTAAGTGACATGATTAAACTTATGTACCAAATTAAAGCTATACTGGTTGGATCTAAATATCCATGTAAGGTAAATGATTTTCACCTTATTGTATTTTATCGTTCCAGTATGTTTAATCTGATACATAGTTTGTACATTGGAATTCTTGTCACTTTTAAGTACTTGGGTAGTTTAGCAGGTATTGTGGACAACTTAACTGGTAGGATAACAAATCCTATTAAGGTAAAAGTTATTACCTTATTGCATTTTATGTTCCAGTTAGTTGTTCACTATTCTTGTTCACTTTGATTTATCTATATATCAAATAACACTTTACTGGTTGGATTTAAATATCCAATTTCAAGATAAAGACAACTTTACCTTATTTCATTTTGAATCCCAGTGTGTTCTTTTTGTTATATAGAATTTACATTGATATTTGTTGTAGTGAACAGAATATCAAGAACTCTTCTTCTGAGTGTATGGTTTATCTAGTATTTCGAACATGATAAGCTAAATATTTAACTGGTAGGATATCAACTCCTATTAAGGTAAAATTACCTTATTGCATTTTGTTTTCCAGTTAAAATAAATAGTTTATTTGTACGAGATGTTATTGTGTGTAACAAATAAATTTAACTGGTTGGATTTATACGATATCCTTTTAAGGCAATACAATATTGCCTTATTGCATTTTATGGTTTTCCAGTCATATTTATTTGTTAACTATATAAAAGGAGCACGACACATCTAGATAATTTTCTTAGTACTCGACAACTGCAAGATGCTACAACAGAGGATAACAAAGACTCCTATAATAATACTACAATAGAGGGGGGATAACAAAAGCTTTTGGCATCATCAAAAACAGTTTATCAACCAATCAACTGGGGTCTAACACATTTTAAACTCGTTCTTAGACCCAAACTCGTTCGGTATGGTCCATTTTCAAACGAGATGGTACCATGCCATACCAATACCAAACAATGCCACTTTTTCCAGGTGTTTAAGGAAAAATTAAAGTTTAGCCACCCTCTAAAAAGAGTTTGTTTCAAGAATAATACTAAATGAAAAAATATTAACCAAATTGGAGTAGAGTTAAAAATATTTTCCAATCTACCGTCACAATTAACTCTAGTTAGTTTGCATAACAGCACTACAGCAGGCAGCCAGGCAACCCCATCGTACGTAGCAAGGCAGCGCACAAGAGGAAGAATGGGGAGATAATTGATTGGGCCCCACAAATAAAATATCTCTTGTTTTTTTAAAGTGTCATAACATTTTTATTTGTGCTCCGATTGTTATAAAAAATATATCAAAATTTATAACTTTTTATTATCTTTCATATGAGACCAATATTGGATATAAAAAATTATGTTTTTTAAAGTGTTGTAATTGCTTAACTTGTACTCGGATTTTTAAAGTGCTATATTTTATACAAATATAAAATAAAATCTATTAAAATCCACTCATATTATTCTTTTCAAGAATATACCAGACTAAACATTTGGTCTATTTTATCAATTTTTAAAAATCCTGTCTAATAATTCTCAAACAAAGCAACCATTGGCTTTGAAGGAGAAAAGTTTTTTACCATCATTTTTCAAGCGGTCAAATTACTTTTTGACTGCATTGGCTAATGTTACTGTAGATAATCATTTTAACTATTTTTACATATAATTTTTTCTTTATTTTATTAATAAAATATATTTTAAATATATATTTTTCTTAAATTAGCAGAATCAGCCAATGCAGCCACTTCATTCAGAACTTCATAAATTTCAGCAGAATCGACCAAATCAACCGATTTTCGTGCTACCAAACGGGCTCTTAACAAATCTACTAAAAAAATTCTACTCCATATGAAAATTCTATTTTATATGGAATATTTTTTATATTTTATATGCACTAGAATTTAAAAAAAAATTATAGAATAGTCATATTCAAAATTTTAATACTAAAAATAAATAAATTTATATGTGTGCGCTCGGTAACCAATTTCATACGTGTGTGCTCACGTTAATGTATATATGTTAAAATTGATAGTGGTAGTAGTTATTTAAAAATAATTGTAAATATATTTTTTATAACATTTTCAAGACTTATTAAAAATAAAAAGTGCGCTCGGTAACCAATTTCATACGTGTGTGCTCACGTTAATGTATATATGTTAAAAATGATAGTGGTAGTAGTTATTTAAAAATAATTGTAAATATAATTTTTATAACATTTTCAAGACTTATTTAAAAATAAAAAGTATATTAAGTTAAGTTATACGTAGTATACTAATATATCTTGTCCATCTGGAAGGACATGATCGAGGCGCAATACAGCCGCCGCCATTTGGGGCGGTCCCTGGTTGAAATTTTTGATAAATTATTTATCTGATTTTTTTTTATTTTATCTCAATTTTTTGTGGATAAACTATATTTGATGAAGAATATGACATATAAATTTCATCAAAAAATTCCATCGGGAACCATCCCAAACGGCGGCGGCCAGCCGGCCGGACGGAGCATCTTGTCCCTCCGACTTGAAAGGGTCATTACTCATACTTATAAATCCATATTTTCAATGGTGATTTTATGTCTTAATATTTAATCTTAACTGGTAATTTGGCTGCTTGAAAAATGATGGTAAAAAACTTTTCTCCTTCAAAGTCAATGTTTTGTTTGTTTGAGAATGTACCAGAAGGACTTATATGAGTAGATTTTAATACATTTTATTTTATATTTTTATAAAATATACCACTTTAAAAACCCGAATACAAATTAAGAAATTATAGCACTTTAAAAAATATAATATTTTTATATGCAATATTGGTCTCATATGAAAGATAATAAAAAATTATAAATTTTGATGTAATTTTTATAACAATCAGAGTACAATTAAAAAAGTTATAATACTTTAAAAAATCAAGAGATTTTTTTTATTTGTGAGACCCAAACTATTCCCTCCCTCAATCCCTCTTGTGCACCGGAAGTCGCTACATACGGAAGTTAGGGATTTTACACTTCTGTTGACTAGGGTTAATTGTAGCAGTAGGTTGGAAAATATTTTTAACCATACCTCAATTTGATAAATACTCTTTTATTTAGCATTAAATTTGGGAAAAACTCTCCAAAAAATCCACACAATTTATCAATTTTCATATATCATACTACCTTCGTTCCAAATTGATTTGCAAAGTCAATCTTTTTTTGGTCAAACAATTTCTTTTTATTCACTTAATTAGAATTTCACATTTTAATTATATTCTAATTTGGCCTATCAAAAAAACTACTCCGTACTTCGTATATTTTAATTTGGATTTTGTAACTTTAGAGAGATTTTAATGTGGTTTCTAAATATGTAAATTTTAATTATTAAAAATTGTATTAATTATCAAGAACTTAACATTAACTTTGACAAAAAAATGTTGGCTTTGCAAATCATTTTGGGACGGATGAGGTAATTAATATATTTTAGATAAACTATAGTAGTACAAATTTAATAAACCATACTTCGGTCCGGTTCGGTCCGGTACCGGTTCTCATTTTATGAGAACCGGTCATGGCATTGTTTGGAACCGGTTCGGTCCGGTTCGGGACAAAAAATTTTGAGATCCGTTTCAAACCCCGTTTATCGGTCCGGTACCATACCGGTCCGGTTCGGTATCATGCCGGTTCGGTATTTTTGTCCACCCCTACTTCCAAGTTCCAACCGCTCACCCTTCGAACGAGACCGTATATTCGATCACCTTTTAAGCAATATGACTTGTTGATCATGTTATGGGTCAAAATGAGCCTATCGCGGTTAAAATAGACCCTCATCGTCTAATCCTAATGCAAGAGTCTTATAACAATAAAAATAATTAATGAAAAAATAAACCCTAGTATCAAGGCTATGAAAAATAAAATCATAACAGAAACAAGAAAACGACATGAACTGAACATGAGAAGAGAACTGGAAAAAATAAATGTGCCAAAACACGCAAGGAAGCTTCAAGATTCCCGGCGAGCCTGTCACCCAACGCTCGCCCCAACCACTTTTTTTTTACATCAGATTCGAGCTTCAGCATCATGTACCCTTCAACAATCTTCACCTCCTTCACACAACAGCATTTTTGTTCGCCGCACGTATTTTTCCCCGCTGCTTTGCAATGCTTTTGCCTTCACGGTTAATTTAGAACCTGGTCAAACACGTGTGCTGAGGGGTGGGGATAGGCCAGACGGCCTGTCAGGGGCCTGTGAATTGGCCTGTTTAAGGCTTCACCTGGCCTGTTTCATAATCAAACTAGGATTGGGCTTTTCAAAAGCTCGCTTATTTAAATAGGCCAGGCCTAGCCCAACTCTGAAGCCTTTTTAGCTTAACAGGCCGGCCTATTTGTACATGTGTGTGTATATTTGTATATATATATTAAGTTTTATTTATATTTATTTGTATTATTTATAAATATAATTATAATTATATTAGTATACTTAACTATATAAGATTAGGCATAATGATATTTGTATGGAGTGTGTATTATAAAGTAGAATACCACAACGTATTTTAAATATATAAAGTGTGTTAATAAGTTATTAGGGTCATTGAAATTCAAAGTTTTTAAAATTTATAAACTACATAACTAACGTATTATTAGACATTCAAAGCAAAACTAACATATTATTAGATTTTTTAGTTAATATTTGATGGGGTAAATTTTATACTGGGTTAAAATGATTTTTCCCTTTTTATTTTTATTTTTGGTGAACTTTTTATTTTTTCTTAACAGCCCCAGTAAACAGGCTTCAGGCTAGGCCAACCTTTTAAACAGGCCAGACTCAGGCCGAAAAAACGGGCCTTTAACAGGTAACAGGCCAGACTCAGGCCTATATATTCTTAAACAGGCCCGGTCTGTTTAGGCAAAAGCCTGATCTGTTTCCACCCCTACGTGTGCACCTTCTCTTGCTACACCCAGGAAGCAAAACAACAACAACTAATCAAATAAACAACATACCTCCGCCTTAGCATATAGCCGATCCATGCTTTCACCAATGGGGACCAAAGCATGAGCGATCTGGATCAGAAACCTCCCGCCTCGTCGTCCGACCTTCCGGTCTCCTGCCCAGCCGCATTCGACGAGCCGATTAACCTTCCTGCCCATCTCACCTTTGGATCCGAGCCCTCCAAACACAGATGAGACTATTAATTGAAACCAACAGAAGTCGGTGACCTCCAATTGCTATTCCCCATTCTTCCTAACCACCCGAGCAACAGACAGCGAAGGCCGCTGGCCGGATACAAAACCCAAGATGAAAGTAGGAGCAGACCACCTTTTTTTTTAAATCATATCTAGATATCAAGATTGAAAAATAAAATTCATTCTTGATATCCAAAAATTTCCATCCAATTAAAAGCATCCTAAAAAATAGAGCACGTTGATGCTTTTTAGGGACGACTCCATGCTTTAGTGGGGGCACGTGCCCCCAATTTTATTTGAAATAGACAATGACTATAATACTTTATACAATTTTATTCCTAATAGAAATAATTTGCCCTCATAAAAATTTTATTCTCATCCCCAATATAGTAGTATGTGCTAAATGATCGGTTTCAACTTGCAAGTGTACAAGTGCCGATATAGTAATAAATTCCGGTAAAATACCGGGTCGAATCCACAAGGAAACATTGTTTAATTTAGTCTGAGAGTAGATGAAAAATAAATGAGTAAAGTGCAGGGATTTTGATTTGTGTTTTGTATTTTTGGCTTTTCACTTTTAATTCAAGGAAACAACTTTAATCAATTTGGGTTTAAAATGAATGATAACAACGGCCAAGGCTTCGGGAATCACTTAAATGCTTTAATGGGTTGAATATTAGTTCTTTACCAATAATTATGAATACGATGTCGCTAATATATTCTCAACTCCGGTTAAGGCAGCGAGAGCGTGGTTTTCGTTATGTGTAAGTCCTGTTACGGCTTACATTCATCTACCGAAAACCCCGTTGAATATCAAGACATCACACCCGTATCATATAATACCAGATATATTTCTATTCTCGGTAATATATATGTTTATCCTTTATTGTTCATAGTTTAGACTTCAACGTTAATTGCAAGCATAAACTAAGTTTAACATACTTCTATGTTGTACACCATAGTCATAAACAATCAAAATGTAAAGGATAAATCACAACTTATTGGTTTAGAACTTTTATCAAACACCTAGTGGGCATAAAAGTTCATCCCTAGCCTTAGCTAAGAACTTAGCTCCTTGAGCTCATACTAATTACAAAAGTGTAACTAAGATAAAGGAAATACAATAACATACAAGAAATAGTACCTAGAACCAATTGTAGAGGAGAGAAATAGCTTCTTCTCCAACACTTCAAGAGAATGCAAAAAGGAAATATAAAAACTGAAATTTAATCTTCAAGGATGGAATGATGATCTTGTTTGATGAATTGGGGGCTTTATATAGACTAAAGATTGGCATCTTTTAGTCTATTCGAGCCCAACAATCAAGCATGGAAGATATATTTGATCAGATCATAAGGAAAGTGGGGTTCTCCCATCAAGATATGGCTGCACGTCTCTTTGTATTCTGCAGATTCGGGCTTAACCGGCGCCGGTTTTAGGCTTAACCGGCGCCGGTTTTACTTCGGGGCTGGAATAATACTGAAAAACACCATAACCGGCGCCGGTTATACTTTGGCCAACCGGGAAAATTGCAGATTAAATGCAATCGGCGCCGGTTTGGTGAAATTCCGGCGCCGGTTTTGTCCTGGGATTTTGGGGATGTTCCGCTACGAATTTGGACATGAGTCCTTCATCAAATTTGTAGCTAATGAAGTCTTCTATCCACCAAAACTTGAATGAGGTGATTTTATTCAGTCAATCAAAAGATATGGATAAAACACTGAGAGGTATGCATCCTGAAATCCCACCAGCAACATCTGACTTTGTTGGTTGATTGAGTCTTGTTCCCTTCATATTTTGGCCATGACGTCTTCATAACATTTGTACCTTATTGAGTTAGCATTCACATGAAACTCGAATCGAGTGATTTCGAGTTCTCTACAATAAGTTATACTCGAATTATGGACAGAACGTCATTCTCTTGGTCCAAAAAGTCATGCATCGCAATGTTTTATGCTCTAGCTCTCATTCTGGAGGTATTTACCCGATTTCTCTTCTTTTATTCAACAAATACTTATAAATACTTATGTTAAACACAAGTAAATATAACGGCTATCACTAAATCAACTAAAATGAATTGAAAAATATAAATTTTAGGAATCTTGAGGCAATTAAAATAAGGTATTAAATTGAAATACCAAATTTCTTCTTCTTCTCAAGATCATTTTCATTATAAATATATTATTAGAATAGCGATTTTTTATATCCCAATATTCACGCATTATAAATCAAAATCTTTGTAACTATTTGCTTTCTAAATGAGGACTTTTATTGTTAATCTTGACTAAAATATTAATATAATAGAAACATGTTTGTCGAAGATAATGTTTTAATAATAATTTATTTAAAAGTAATCACGTAATGATAAAAAGTGAAATTTGCAAAATTTGTTTTTATCGTCAAAACAAATGGCTTAAATTTCTATCACATGCAATCGTCAGTCCTTGAGTTAGATTTATAGTCAATCACCTAAAAAAACAATATGACTCGTTGATACTATAATGGGCATAAATGAGCCAACGTCGGTTAAACCAGACCACCCATCACCTAATCCTAATGCAAGAGTCTTACAACAATAAAAGTAACCGATAAAAAAATAAACACTCTGATCATGAAAAATAAATAGCAAGCAAAAAGTAAAAATTAAAATACTGCTTCCAAACCCTAAACTCTCCTGCACTCCATGACGACAGTTTAGGTGGGGGGCGGTCCAACAATACTATAACATCTTCTGCTCCTTGCCTCCACTCCAGATCTGTTACTGCCCCACGCTTCGTCCATGACCTTCTGATTTCAACCATGAACGACATCTACGAAAATCTCCACCTGATGCTAGGGGTACACAACCTTTAGCTGCCACATAGGCGTTGGAGTCTGCCGAAGAAGAGATCCTCACGAAAGGCGAATGAAAGCCGCACAAGAAAGCCGCACTTCGTCAAAGATGATTGCATTGATTTTTGAGTGTTTATATTTTTACTTTTAATTACTTTTTATGGTGTGTTGTTGTGGTAATTGCACATTTAAAGTGCAATCATTTTATTTTTCTAGTTTGTTGTAATTTAGTAAATTTAGAATCATCTTGAGCAAGAAACAATCAAGAATCAACAAAGGATCATGGAAGGGATCTTACAAGATCAAAGGAAAGTGCAAGGGAACAAGAAATCATGCAAGAAATGTGATTTGGTGACTTACCCGGTCGGGTATAGCCTTTACCCGGTCGGGTATGAAGTGACCCGGACAAAAAGACGTGCAGAAAACACAAAATCGTGGGCAAAATATTTGATTTTGACAAATACCCGGTCGGGTATCTCAAATACCCGGCCGGGTATCCGGTGCAGCACCTTCAAAACACCTATAAATAGCCCCATTTTCCTTCACTTTTAATCATCCCTTCTTCCATACTCTTAAGCTCAGTTTAGAATAGTATTTCTTTTATATTTTTATAGCATGTTTAGTCTCCAAATGAGGAGCTAAACTCTTCCATCTTGGTTTTGCTCCTTTGAAGCTTAATGAATTTGTAAGTTGTGAGTTATTATCTTTAATCTGCTTCCTTGAATATTAATTCTTTCTTTAAATACTATTTCTATATCAATGTCGGGGAGTGTTACTAAGATGACAATTAGTTAACATCTTGACATTAGTTATAGTAATAGTTATTTCTTCCTCTACGTTAATATCGGGGAGTGTTACTAAGATGACAATTAGTTAACATCTTGATATTAACTATAGTAGGATTCATCTTCTTTAATATTCTTTCTTGAGTATTAATTAATTCCTATTCATATTTCATATTAATATTTTGAACATTACTTAAGGGATCAATTAGTTTTGTTTCATATATTAATTATTACTAGAATCAATCGGTTAATACGCTTGTTATTAATTCGGTTCTTTCAATGGTAGTAAACTTGGGTTGTTAATGCATGCTTCTCATGATTAATAAGCCAAGAGGAATTAATTATATTGATTAAACCAATAAACCGCTTGTGTTGAGGTTATCAATCTCAATCGTTTTCATCTTAAGTTTATTGCTACTATCAAGTTAATATACGGCGCTTGTTCTATATTGACTTGATAGTAAATTTTATTAATGAACGCATCTCGTTATTAATAACTACCCTCGATGAACTGGATATACTCCTCGATTGAGTATTCGAGAGGAAGATAGTTAAAGATATAACCGGGATCGACGAACATTTCATTAAGTGGATAAAAGCAAAGCCAAGTCTTCTTCTTATTAATTAAACCACATAACTCGTTCATCTTCGTGTTTAAATATAATTTAAGTTCATTTACTCAATCTAACCCCCCCCCCCCCCTTGTTACTAGTTTATAAAGAGAAAAGTATTCCTTTCCCTGTGGATACGAACCTTACTTCGTTATACTACGTATAATTGTTGTATTGTATTATTATTTTGAGTGCACACCACGACAAAGTGCACGTCAAATTTGGCGCCGTTGCCGGGGAAAGGCAATTATTTTTATTTTTATTTTATCTCATAAAAATCAAAAACAAAAAAAAATCAAAAAAAAAAAAATCTTACTCTTCTATTTTCTGAGTTTACATGAGTTATGAGTATATGGATGTCAATATATCATGCTTAGAGAGTCAAATTTCCTTCTTGACTTCTCTAATAAAGGGATTTATCTTAAACTCGGAAGCTCAAGATGCCAAGACATGCAACATTTGCATGTCTCACAGGCATTTTACGGATTTCTGCCCAAAGCTCCAAGATGAATACCTTGAACAAATTGATGATGTTGGTTACGAAAGGGATGCACCTCACATGAGGTATGATCCGTTCTCCAACTCTAACATGTCTACAGAGGATATGGTCCGGACTATTGCTACCAACATGACCACCATGCAAAACAACATGGTGCAATTCCAAAATGAGACCAAGTCTAGCATTTCAAACTTGGAAACTCAAATGATTCAAATAGTCGGAGCCGTAAGTAGGCTTGAAGCAAGGGATTCGGAAAAACTTCCCTCTCAAATAGAATGTGATCCTAAACAGCAAACTTTTGCAATCACATTGACAAATGAGAAGGAAATGCAAAAGGAGATCCAAAATCCAGAAGAAGTAGAAGAAGAAAGAGACGCGGAGCTCC